AGAAGGCTCGATTAGCTTTTGCCAACTTGCGTCATTTATGGCGTAGGCGAGATATCCGTCTATCAACCGAAGGACGTGTTTACTGCGCAGTTCGTTCCGTCCTACTTTATGGCCGTGAAACATGGCCGGTAAGAGTAGAGGATATCCGTAGGTTACTAGTATTTGATCATAGGTGTCTTCGAAACATTGCTCGTATATCTTGGGACCACCGGATAAGTAACACAGTTGTTAGGAAACGGGTACCAGGTAAGGATGGCAAACCAATTGACGTAGTGAAACTCCATCAGTTGAGATGACTACGACACGTGTTACGTATGCCCAACCACCGACTGCCCCGACGTGCGATGTTTTATGTTGCAGGAGTAGGTTGGAAGAAAGATAAGGCGGCCAGACCAAAACATGGCACAAATCCATGAAGTCACTGACAAGTGAACTGAGTCATATCGGTATGTGTAGACTACCTGGTTGGGGACCGCGAGATGAAAGCAACCGATGGTTAGAGACCCTGAATGACATGGCTCAAAATTGTTTGCAATGGTGCAGGTGCATCCAATCCTTTGTGTTCTCCCAAATTTTAGTCTTCTGAATCCTTCATGTCCCTTTCTTTTTTCTCTTTCCAAATTTATTTCACTGGATTATACTCCTTGCATAACATCTTCAAACCCTAATCTTTTCGATTACTGCTTAAACTCTTACTACCTCTACCACTACGGGATTTAAATCGACCACTGTATCTCTGCGCTAATGCGGCATGGCAACTCAAACTGATGTACGTGCGTACGGAGTTCTACGTTGTTACTGCCTGACTTGAGGTGATCCAATTTACCAGTCCATCTAAAAGTTATTGTGATGGAGATTCGCAGCTCAAATTGGTGAAATGGTTATGGATAGTCGTTTTGGTTCAATTCTGGGTAATCTAGAACTATGATAAGATTATCAACTAATGATAACGTATGTCAGGTATATTAATGATATACGTGTTGCATGTAATTATTGTTAACATTTTTCTCGTGAATTGGATCTTTTCGGTAAAGTATACCCCCATCATTGCATTTATGATGGAATATGAAATGTTTCGTTTTTTAGATTTCAATACTACCAGTAATCCAAGTGGGCATTTGGAAAGGCATACTTATTGAAGAGACATGTAGAGTGGGCTATACTTGAAGCATCATAGCTTCAGTAATTTATGGATAGCATCTTCTGAGGATGGAATTGAGGGATTGACCATAGTCGAACGTTGCTTGAGTGATAAAGGTTATCCACAAAAATTCATGACTAAGCATCAAACGGCTAGAATAAAGGGAATGAAATATACTACTATTGAGGAAAATCCTGTCTTCCTATAACTTGACTTCAAGTGTGACAAAATAACAGGGAAGATTAATTGATTTTAGATTAATGGCAATAATGAAAAGGGCGTATCTAGCCTCCGAGACGGTCCTTCTATACCACACAAAACGCTAACTGAAACAATCGAACTGTAAGCATTCACACGTTATCTTGTCTCCACTAATTTACGCACATTTACTATAGCACAAACATCAGAAGAACAGAAGGTAAGTTTTATATCCGAAACTCCGAACACATTCCACAAAAGTTGTGATTAAATCAACAAAATTGGACATTAGTACAATTGCTTTACGATGGACATAATGTTGATATTACAGAATCCTTCTAAGCAATCGACCAACAAAAAATATATCACATTTATTATCCATTAGAGAAATGGTTACTATATGAATAGACTTAAACCAAGTTTCTATATCTGAAAGATAATTATCAATCGTTTTTTATGCCAAGTGACCTTATTTCTAAAAGAATGTTACATGAGGTCTTTCCCATGACCTTAATTATAACTGCGAATTTCTTACTTCTGAGATTGTTAGGCCCCAATAAGCATAATGAATGGTAACTGTTGGAATCCATTATGGATCAATACTATACATATATTTCTATCGTATAATTGCTAAATAACTAAACTATTCATATCCCTCTTAGTATCAGCTTTATTTTGACCTATGAATAACCATTCTTGAATTATGCCCTGTCAATCAATTACTACCTCACTCATTCACAGCCACAACTGTTGTTTCCTATATTATTGGTACGATGTGTACTGTTTGGTTGGTATATAAACCCCGTATTTTTGAAATAAATGACTCATATCACAAAGGCTTTGATTTGTGTTCTGGACTAAACTGACTAGGCTAGGCGGCAAGCAGGACTGATAAGGACTCTAGACTGCTCGCGCTTGTTTTATGCGTCCTTGGTTCGGTCGATAATTCACTGGTCTCTAATCGGCGGCCACAAATTATAACAGAGCTTTACTCAACTAATACATATTTTCTAACCAATTATTAAGTAATTTACTACATGAATTAATGATTTCGAAAGAAATTCTCTTTTCGATCTTTGTTCCTAGAATATTCATGTACTTAACCTAGAAATAAACAAGGATTTCAACAGATTCTCCATCATTTCATCATAATTATTATCTTGTATTATTCTACATCTACATGTCAAACTTAGTTTTATTCAATCCTTTACTGATATAATGTACATAGATTTGTTTTTTTTTCGAATGATTTTTATCAATGTTTTTAGGTCGTAAGTAGTTGAAGAGGATCCACAACACGTTGTCTTGTTACAATTCAGGTTGTTTCTTTATTTGAAAGTGTAGAAATCAGATAAGCAACTGATGATGTCCAAAACTATAATGAGCATTAAGCGATTGAAACATCTAGGGATCATAATACCGTCTAACCCATTTATCTAAGTCACAAATCTGTATCACAATGAATTAGATGGACTAAATAAATTAGATCATGATGAATTTGACTCAATTGTCAATAGTGTGAAAAATTGAATAATTTAATCTGCTCAGGACGCTACAGTAATTTCCATAAGACCAGTTATCTAGATTAATAACTTATTTAACGGAGTTGGTCGTATGGTGGCCAAACCTAAGGACTAAACCAAAAATGTAACCACCCTGCAGAAATTACCTGAAATATGAATCATGCATTCAGAAACATTAACAACGGTAAGCTACGTCCTATGGTCACTTACGAACCGAATTGACGGGAAGACGTTTCTTTGAGAATTTCATACAATCCTTCCATGTATAGATTTGAATAATGGGAGAACAACGGGCTACTCATTTTTCCAGTAATTAACAAAATAGTCTCAAGGTTTTAAGCAGCTGAGGGAGATTTAAGGAATAACTGAATTGATATTATTCTGCTACGATCTTTTTTCCTATTTTTCCCATTCATAATCAGGGAAAATCGTATGAAACCCCTACCTTTCAGCTTTTTAGTGAACAATTACTAAGACTATTTGATCCCATACGCTGGAAGTCATTCAGCCGAATTGCTGGACGTATACCTCCATGTGATCATTGGTAATTAACATAATGTTGATGATTTAGCAGAAACCATTCACTTGGTAGAGGTACGAAGTGACGTAACAACTGTATTTGCCATCCATTAGAATACTTATAAGTCACAATACATAGCGGAATTTTTTAAACAACTACATATGACCAACCGCATGGGATGAATGAGAAAATTAGTATTCAATAAACTATTATTGAACAAACAAGTTCCGCAGGACAAATAATGCACGAAGTCGAAGCCGCTGGGTCCGTAAACCATATCTAGGCCACCGAAACCGGTGTTTCAAAAATCGTGAGGTCAATCAGATTATCAGAAATTTCCCCAAACACACATGGTCGAACTTCGACGTTACTGACATAGCGTTGCCACTGGATGGCAACAGTACTTTGGCGACGACTGAAGTCACCAAGCATCACCAGCACAGAACAAAATTACTCTCGCCGAAGTATTGTGAACCCTACTTCTCACAATCATGGTAAAATTGGGACGGTGCATAGGATGCTAACCAAAGGATGAAATGACAAAAGAAGACAAACCAAACATCATCTACAAAATAAATTCTGCCAACTGCGAAAAACACTACATCGGACAAAGCGGACGCCCCCTCCACCTACGCCTACATGAACATCGATTAGCAGTCAAACGCCACGACATTTCCTCAATTATATCAATACACGTGGACAACTGCAGACACTAATTTGACTGGGAAAATGTGGAAATCTTGGATGGAGGAAATTCCAAAAACATCAGATAATTTTTAGAAGCCTGGCACTCAGCAATCAACAAGCGCATTGAAATCGACCCAATTTATCAACCAATCAGGAAAATTATGCACAAACATAGGGACAAAAACCAAAACAATGGGAGACAACCAAAATAAAGAAGTAAACAATGACAAATTTAAAGTCAACAAGGACCAATCAACATCGAGGTGTACAGGACAAGCTGTGAAACACGTATGGAGAAATTCGAACGCTTCACTTCTATCTGAAGTTTGTGCTGATGATGTCGTTCAGAAGAACGATGAAAGCTCCACGACCAAACCATCCAGTTCAGAGAATAAAACTCTATCAAAATACAAATAAGATAAACGATGTACGCACGCACGAGGTTCTGCGTTGTTGCTGACTGAACTTTGCCTACTACTAACTGGTGGCAGCGTCACTATTCAGAAACTGGACTACACGAAACTCGACACTGATTTACCATAGGCTTTTATCACGGGGCATTTTCTCCATGCTTAAATATGTTACCTATATCAATACTTTATTTCATATTATCACATCTTTCAGCGGCTGACCGTAAAACGAACGATTGCTTACGATAATCGAAGCTTACTGAAGAGTTTCATGGCCATAGTAACCTAAAATTATTTCAAACTGATACATGGTTAATTTGGGCATTAGTCTGCTTCGGATAGCACTCGATATTTCTACTGCGTAGCAGTAGAAATCCCATGAATAAATCTAGCTACCAGCACATCACATTGTCAGGTCAACTTATATTGTGTTAACACAGTACTTGTGTTGAATACGTTGAGAAAGCGAAAAAACGGCAGTTACTCAGGTAGACTTTTCTTCTTACGTAATTGTTTTTCTTAAACAAACGGGCAAAGTACCATATATTAGTGTAGATAGAAGTTGAATTAACAAACTAATACTTTTAATTTTCATTAGAAATATTTCTGACATGTACTAAGCCCAGAATTCAGTGTTTCAAGATTGTGACATTAATTGGATTATCGAGTGTCTGAACACTAAGCAGACGCAGTTACTATTAAGTGTGAACAACCTTTCGCAGACAGATGATTAATCATAGTCACTCGACACTCTGATCTCGGATGGCAGTTTTCTTAAACAGGTAGTACAATACCTTTCATTGACGTGTTGTTTACTTGGAACTTTACGGCTACATTTGATATCCAAAATGAAAAACGGCAAACTGACAAAATTCCACACCCCTCTCCTTTTGTTGCGCCCCTCAATTAATATGGGTATTTCCGATGGTCTTCCTCTTGCTCGTGTCCTTATGAATGGAAATAGATTTTACAGCTGGACTAATAGCACGACGACATCACAGATAACCCCAGATTAGTACAAGTCGCTCTGGCTTCTAGCATACATAGATTAACCTTACTTGTGCGCTCAGAACGTTTTATAATCACTATCAACACCGGAAATTCCGGGCACACTACCACGACGTGGTGAATTCTCACATACGAAGAAAGCATTCCATCATGTCGCTGCGTTTTCTAAGTAACGGATGTGTCACAGGTCTCATAATCGATGAATACGAGAAATAACAATACATTCTTCTACGTGTAACAACCCCACCATGTGTTAATCATTCCATATATAATAGCATTAAACTACTCGGAGATTGCACTTGAAACGGATTTCATACTTAAGATTAACCACCCGAATCCATTTATGTGTAATTGCAAGTAAGGAATAATTTATTACTTGAATTTCTTTTTTGATCTAAATCAGAAATATTTCACAATAAAAGAAATTACAACAAGGAGATAAATATCAGTTTTCAAATGTCATTTACCATGAGATTCTGAAACTGGCAACCATAGAACGCAATAATTGAATTGTGTTTATAGTATCGCCAAAGTAATGTGGGTAATCACAATGCAACCCTTTATATTATCTGGGGGGGGGCATACGATGAAATTAACCAAATCAACTACAAACGAGGGTCTACATAAACGGCATAATAATAACAACCTATAATATTGCACAAATCATGAGCCTAACTGGCCTAACCAGACATAAAACAAATAAAGGCACATAATATATATGTATATATATATATATATATATATATATATATATATATATGTATATATATATCAAAACATTTGTTTTATATAGTAAAATGTCTTAGGGTTTCGTAGAACAAATTAATATTTCATTTAGGATATGTTTTATGCCAATAAAACAATGACTAAAATAAACATGAGTGATTATATAAGCACATAAAAAGTAAAGCTTTAAAGTGGTTGACTTTATAATTAGACATGAATGGATTAATGAATTTAATGATCGGGAGACATGATACCATCAATACAACTTAATGGGACCTGATTCCTCAAATAGAAATACAACATAAATATACCATATGCTAAGCAGTGGAAAGAGCAAAACGAACAAATTATTTATTATTTAACTTTATAAAATATGTAAGGCTACTGCCACATAAAAATATTAGGATCTATTACAAACATAATAAACATGATAGTTGTGACCATGATGAGATAATCATCTACATGACATATATACGCATGAAAAAAAACACAGAATAACGACATACTCATTTGCAAGTGGCCATTAATAAGCTAAGCATAATGAAACGCGGGTGTTAAATATACTGAAATATATCAGTTCGCTATCGCACGTCTAAGTTTCGTTTCCGGTCACTCCCGACGAATTTGGTGCACCATTGGATTCATCTTCTGGAAATTTAGTCGAATCAGATTTAGCATCCGCCGAGTCACTCTTTGATTCGGGCTTTGCACAACCTTCGGCTTTCTCCATTTTCGACAGAATATCTAATTCATCCTCTTGTTCCCCATTAGAACCGCCACCAGGAGCCTTGTCATTTCGCTGACCATTTATCGCCAACGATCCATGGTGTCCGGGCATCAAAGGAGGTGCAGGATAACGTATCAGCGAAATGCCAGCTCTGTCATCTGATATAGGTTTCGGGCTAAAGGCAATTTTTAGATGAAAAGGATGAGCGTATCCAGATAAGTGAACTGGCCGGTGATTTGCCAAAATGAGGGCCTCAAGAGCCTCAGTCAACGTATCCCATTCTACCAATCCTGTCCAAGAGAAATAAAAACTTACATTCAGTCATTTTTCATATTGGATATTTATAATAAAGTTTGGACTTAATGGTTTTACACATTGACTAACTGATTGACGTTCCTCGTCGGAAATCACCTGAAGAGAACACTTTAATGTACAAAAACTGGAATTTAATACAAATATGCGGGAGTCAAGTAGATGTAGAGACAAATAAACTACTATTCATATAATCGAATGTTAACTTGTTTTCTATTTACACTGATTTATAGAATCTTGTCAAATATGGTTATTATTCAGTAACACATAGGCAAACAAGCACGACAATAACTAGACACGTTTTTAATACCCCTAATTTATTAACTTTTGGATACTTCACAAAAGTTCGACTATGTACAAGACCAGTGAAAGTACACATATAGGCTACGAAAACTAGATACTACACTACGTTAGGCATACAACCATTCTTGGTCTGGGGTGATCGCATCTATACGTATGTGTATACTATGGAATGTACAGGTTTCTATCTGTGCATTCCGAATATACATGTAATGCCTACTTGCGGCGGTTTTACGTTCTATACTGGTGTGTTCATTATAGCTCACAACGCTTTTCGAAGTTTGAGCCCTCAAGTGCCCTGATATAGTCGAGGGTAGAGTCAGCTCTCCATCATGAAATGCTCTCACATGTCCACGTGGATACAACCACTACAAGGGAAGTCCTACTCACTGCCTTCTCGTGGTATTAATGTTCTTTACGAAATTAAGAGGACAAAAAGCGAATGTCTGTCGCTTTAACCGGGTTGGTAGATTCCGAGAATCTACCTAGGGGATTTGGAAATCCCTGATTCCAAACCAATGGTCACACGGGATCCAGGATCGTGAGGGAACTAATGTAGTACGAAACTATTGTTGGTAACCGGATACCATGGGACTATATTGCCTAACGTTGATCCATTACCATGTGAATTAGACCTCTAGGTCAAACGCTTGCGGTGTAACCCCTTAGTAAAACCACCTGACTCGGTTTTTGCACATAGGTAGTATCTCAGCCTTCACGTCAGTCAGTCAGACAGTAACAACGTGGAACTTCGTACGCACGTACATCAGTTCGAGTTGCCATGCCGCATTAGCACAAAGATGCAGTTGTCGATTTAAATCCCGTAGTGGTAGAGGTAGTAAGAGTTTAAGCAGTAATCGGAAAGATTAGGGTTTGAAGATGTTACTCAAGGAGTATAATCCAGTGAAATAAATTTCGAAAGAGGGAAACAGGGACATGAAGAGTTCGGAAGATTAGAATTTGAGAGAACACAAAGGATTGGATGCACCTGCGCCATTGTAAACGATTTTGAGCCATGTCATTCAGGGTCTCTAGCCATCGGTTGCTATCATCTTGCGGTCCCCAACCAGGTAGTCTACACATACCGATATGACTCAGTTCACTTGTCAGTGACTTCAAGGATTTGTGCCATGTTTTGGTCTGGCCGCCCTCAGCTTTCTTCCAACCTACTCCTGCAACACAAAACATCGCGCGTCGAGGCAGTCGGTGGTTGGGCATACGTAACACGTGTCCCAGTCATCTCAACTGATGAAGTTTCACCACTTCATCAGTTGATTTGCCTTCTTTACCTGGTACCCGTTTCATAACAACTGTGTTACTTATCCGGTCGTCCCAAGATATACGAACAATGTTTCGAAGACACTTATGATCAAATACTAGTAAGCTACGAATATCCTATACTCTTACTGATGACAGCCTTCACATAAATTGAGTGAATTATGTGGCGTGTATATATTTGGTGCCTTCTTATACCAATATCGGTGTTTAAGTAAATAATTAAGTCTTCGAAAGTGATAAGAAAGTGTAGATTATGATGCGTCTGTCTGCACTTCATAGTGTATACTCCAATGTGTCTGCCTCACCGTAGATATCGATTTTTTCTAATTACACGTACCATGAACCTTAAACGCGTCCATTTACTTTCCAGTCGCGCACTCTTCGCAAGACCCTTTTCTCCGACGAGCCTATAGGCTTCTACTTAGTTGAGTGGGAATACTACTACTTAAAGTAGAGATACTTATGGGTTGGTGGAAAGCCCTACAATATTTTCACATTGATTTGTCTATTTTCCAATTATTCTCACTGAGAGTTACTTGGTGCCCAAACTGATTAATTTTACTTTAAGCTTCAAGCGAACGTCTAGTTATCTTTTCCTTGCACCTTTAAAGTTAGTAACCTTTCATCGACCCTTGGTCAAAAAGTTGGTAGTCAATCCCGTTTATGAGGTCGACGTATTTCGTCAAACTTGGGACCAATATATACATGGCACTCACCAATATGCCAAAGACCATAACAAGGATTTCCATGTCAAAATAATCACTGAAAACTACCATCCGAAATAAGTATTCTCCATAGTTATATGTAACAAAATATTGGAATGTTAGGTATTTGCAGTCGCATTTAGCATACCTTACGAAGCTTTTATCGGCTGATGTACAGTTATACATTACATACACTGAAAAATTAGCTTCATACTGCTTATAATCTTTCTTTTCAGCAGCCAAAGACTACAAACTAGTGTTTTACCTCTTAGTGAACTAAACGCAAATGGGACATTTTTTGGAATTGAACAAGAGACCGATACAATTCATAGTGCTGATGAAATGTGCTACGCACTAGACAAAGTATGAAGATTCTGACGGAATTCCGCTATCAAGTACAGATCAGTGAATTTTCAGCTCCTCATGGGAACAAAAGAACATAACAAACTTCGCGTTTTGGAAACAATTGTTATCCTGAGGATCAGCAAAGCACTACTTATTTTAGAGCTGACTAACGGATAGTAGTGTTGTGTACAGGTGTAATCAGTATAACAGTCGTAATATTTATAACAAGTTAAACTTTCAATCATGCACATAGTAATCTAATCATTACATTGAAAAAAACACTTATGACTAAGCTTGTGTTCAGGATTATTGATAAATAACTGGTCAATAGGGATAAATATACTATATGCTCAGTTAATCATTATCAGAACTTACCAAGAGAAGTTTTTTGACCTGCTTTAGAAGTGAATATTACAACACGGGGTGGAGGTGTGGCACCACAATCTGAGAACACTCGGCAAATGTCATCTGGACTAAAATTAAGGGGGGCATTGAAGAAATGAAGTGTGCGAGAAGGTTCTAGAATTCTGCTTTTGGCAGCCACCATTGAGTTTCGGAAGCGGTTGTTGGGGTCCGCTATAACGTAAAAGAAAGTCCATTAAACTTAGTGGGAGAGAAACCAAAAGCCTGTACGGCAAAAAATTTACAGAAAATCTAAATTTTTTCTGAATCAAAACTGAAGCCGGTCAAGTTGGAGCTTATACAACGGGACAAGTAGAAAAAATATTTGCTCCTCGGTGTACTCGTGCACCATAAAATGACAAATGGGGATAATTAAACTTGTCTGACTGGTTAGGCACAAAGGAGTTACAAAACATTCAGACTAAGGAAGCTCAAATAAACGATACTTGCACTGTTAAAGTATACAAGGGCTAAAATTGAGTTGTCGGCCTCCTGAAGATCAACACCATGTCTCGATATCTTCGCAGTCATAAGCAATATAGGACATGATGCATGTGTACATAGGTTTGAATCCTATAACCCATTAGCACAGCGAGCCAATCCCAGAATAGCAATGGTAATAAAAGTACTAATAGAATCAAAAGACCAGACATCATAGATCAAATTCGAGAAAGTATACATTTGTGATGTGTGAAGAATTAACAGGGAATCAATGAACCTATAATTGCGTGGACCTCATCCGAGCAGTCTGAAAACAAGTACATGGCTCATTTCAGTTGATGTCTTTGAAGATCAATGTACGTTTGTTAGTAGTTTGTCTTCAAATATCAAGGCCAAGTAACAGATGTAGCATATATTAACTAGTTTTCAGGAGACTAGTGCGAACTGACTTAAAATTATTGTTATGGTTGGTTAAGTAGACATTGAGATCGAATTGATAGTTCTGTTAAGTGCGAGAACAGTCAATTAAGACCTACTGATCCTTGTCATCACAAATTTGTGGGAGGTTAAATTTGTGAGATACAATGAATTGTCGTAAGAAGGAAATTGCGATGAGAACAAGCCTATACATAGGTCAGTCAGTAAGTTATAAACTTAACAATCGATGGTTAACTTCGCTAATAATAAAGTCCATGCAGACAACTGCTACAATGCCACGCTTAGACCATAGACTGGAACGGTAAAAAAACTTCATCTAAAATAAATTATAGAGATTTGACGCGCACGAGTCTTTGCAACTAGGGAAATGGAAGTCGCTTATATTTAAGAGGTTTGGCAGGAATCTTCGTAACTATGAATATAAATATATGGAAAGAATACAAAATGTTGGATAGCATTAAAAACTAGCCCCTCCAATCAAATACAACGCTAATATATGGAGCACTCTAAGGTACAACAAAAACTCACTCATGTAGTTTTTCATAACTGGTGACCCATCAGCCAATGTCCCCAGATTTTCATGTTCCTTAAGCTCCGTCACCTTGCTGTGATGAAACTGAATAACTTGACCAAACACACACACTCCACTGAAGTATCGATGTATGAGGTCACCTGTTTCTGGGTTTCCGACTTGAACCATTGCATAGCCAGGGCGTGTCTTCAGGAACTTAATCCGTGCAACATTACCATACAGACAAATTAAATTGAACAGATGATCACAATTCATGCGCTGTGGTATATTGCTGGCCATTAAAACTACACCTTCAATAGCTTCAAAAACTGACAAGTCCGATTGACGAGCAGCCGGAGTTGATACAGATAGGTTTGATGTTGAATGACCAATCCCAATTCCGCTAGCATTTACTTGATGAACTGAAGGAGGGGTTGGAAGTATTATGATTTGTGATGGTGGTGTGAAACCAGTCGAAGCTTGTGGCCTGAGTGACTGGATACCAGCAGCCGGGATCATATTAGGTTGCCAGTAACCTGGATATGGAGAGGCAAACGGTGTCACGGCAGGGACAGCGCACGCCGGAGGAATAAGTGGACCCACTCCATAGTAACCCATCGGTGTTTGGGAGGGAGGGTAGGGTTGTGCGCCATACATCGGAGACACTTGTGGGAATGGGGCGGCTGCAGGAGGTGGTAAGATTGCAGGAGCTACGGCTGAATTTGGGGGCGGAGCTACTGAGCCAAGTAGCGTACGCTGAGTGGAAGAATTGTTCAGGGGTCCTTCTAAATTGCCACTTGGACCAGTAAAATCCCAGGACTCACTATCGTTCTGAGTCACATGAACGCGTTGAAGACGGGAATATGCAACCGTAAGATTACAACAACCGGAATATATGTCAGCACCATCAAGCTGCTCTTTGGCTGCCCTAGCCTCTTCAACATTTTCAAATTCAACAAGAGCTTCTAGTGAACGGTCAACATTCTTTTTCCCAATAAAGGTTCTTAGTATATTCCCATGAGGAGAACAGATTGCCTTTATTACATCGACAGTTATTGGGTATTCAGCATTTGAAATATCTAAATGAAGAATGCGTGTAGGGGCATTGTTGTCCAAGGCTGAAGACTGTGATTGATGTTTGCGGTCAATTACAGGAGTAATTGTTTCGGAAGAAAATTCCAACCTAACGCGATTCGGACCGACACAAAAAGGGTTGATTTTCGCCATGTGGACAAGTCTAGTGGGAGGAGAAATTTCACAAAACTCAACAAGAGCAGCTCGACCACTGCATACCAGCTTGGCATTTTTAATCTGCCCGTATCTGCTGAAAAGACCGATCAAATCCCTTTCTGTACAACCTTCCGGGATGTCTGCAACGACAATAGTGCAACTCGGTTGATTAGTAACTAGGTAGGAGATATCAGTTGCCAGGTGAAGGCTTCCCGGTACTGTCCCTGTAGTGTTGTAGAACTGAGCGGTAGCTGCGGCAAGAACATCATACCTTGACCGTTTTGCAGGGTGCGCCATTTCCGACGGAAATCGATGTGGCCCGCGGGGAATTGAAACATAAGTTACTGAATGTCTTTATTTGGTTAATATCAGTAAATATAGGCTAATATCCACCAAAACATTTATAGTGACACTTAAGCTTATGAAAAAATACATAAACCTCAAAAAGTCATCTTCTGAAAAATAGACAAAGGTTGAGCAGATTTTGTGAATTATCCCAACCCTTGAACCTTATCCAGAAGGGTCAACTTAAATTAATGGATGCAAATTATTTTGTTTGAAATCATGTTTTTCTAGTGCCAGCCCAATTCCATAATGGTTTTCGCTTGAACTCACCTTCTCCCCGAATTTCCTTCTAGACCTCGATCTTTGCATTTTGACAGTTCTTCCTTGCTTTCCTAATTCAACTTGTATGTTTTGGATGCAAGCGTGTGTTGCCAATATCCAATATCTTTATGCCGAACTTGTATAAACTGAATAATCGGTTTTCTCTCGCTTCCTGTCGTTTCTGTACGGTTGAAGGCGTCTTTAGTATTCAGTGCGTGGTGGTCTGCACACTCAATAACACTAATTCTAGCCAGGATGGTAATTAGTTGTGGATCTGCATATCTTCTGATCAAGGTAGATGTGTTTATGTTTACCATATTATTCTTTCCATTTTTCGTCATTTCATCTGCTTCAAAATTACTAGCTGGCCCCGATTTACAACTTTCATACTCGATGACTGAAATTTATCCAAATATTCATCATTATACATTCCTGCAAATATATTAGTTGATAATATGTACAACGGAACCTAATAAACCCCTAGTACGCCATCACTAGATATTTCACAACCTGAAGACCTACTACTCTTATTATTATATTCCTTTTCGATGCTAAGACTACCCATACAAAAAGTTCCAGCGGGTTGAACATTTTCTCGACATGTGACATTCAATCAATAGCTTCACATCACACACACGTGATTAGTACTTCGTGGGCAGATATCATAACAAAATTGGGAGTTTCCAAGTTTTCAAGTCTTACTGTACACTTAGTTTTTTAGAAGAGCAATGTTTATAACAGATACTGACCGTCAATAACTTAAGTGACGAGAGACCGTCTCATGAAACCCATGAAAACACTGGTTGGGCCACACTAGATTGGTGAAGATGTGTTCCACCAAATTTGGTCTGAATAACTACCGTATAAACTTTTGAACCTAAGTAAAACCTGCATTGCCTCAAAGTCCTCTCAGGGAAGTAACGTTCAAACTAGGGAAGTCAATGATAAATCATTTAACCAATGTATCTGTCCTGTTTATAATGGGCTAAGAAAAAACCCAATAAGATCAAATGGTTCAAATGGTTCAAATGGTTGTGGACGGAATAGAAGAAGCTTTCGCTTTACAGGCTCCCGTGTCTAGTAGCAGGGGATCACCAAATCCTCCAGGCAGGAACCTAGGCATGTTAACAATAAAAGAGGGAAAGAAGTTAGTAAATCATAGTGTGATACTATCCTTAGTCCTTAAGAATAGATCAGGTTGTCTCTTAAAGGACTCCTGGGAAATTGCTTGGACTAGCTCGCTCGGCAGCGAATTCCAGCACTTGACAACTGTTAAGGAGTAGAAGTTATGTCTACAGTCCGTTCTGCTATGTTGCGTCTCCAGTTTTTGGGTGTTACCTATTAGGTTAGGCATTTTTGTCACAGTTAGCGTAAGACTTTAAATCGTAGGGCACTAGGACTCTTAAATCTTTTTCAACTTGGGATACTACTAGAGAGGAGACACCTAAGTTATAACTGTAGTCTGCGACATATCGCAGATGGACTACTTTACACTTTGAAGTGTTAAAGGTAAGTCCGTTATCGTCTGCCCAACTTTGAAGTCGAGTCAGGTCCTCCTGAAGTGCCTGTATATCGTCTTGGTTGCGTATCTCTCTCCAAAGTTTCACGTTGTCAGCGAAAAGTAATAAGTCTGACGTTACCTGTTGAGGAAGAACATTTATGTAGATCAAGAAGAAAAGAGGCCCTAGTACTGAGCCCTGGGGGACCCCACTGGGACATTCCATAGCCTGAGATAAAGTGAAATTAACCCTGACCTTAAAATGTCGATTTTTCAGGCATGAAGTGGGCCAGTCGATTAGAGGTGGTTTGAGACCTAGTCATTTGAGCCTAATGATAAGACACAAGTGGTTAACCTTACCAAAAGCTTTTGAGAAATCAAGGTAAATGATGTCAACCTTCCCCTTGTGATCAAGGATGCTTGTCCATCTGTCCACCACAGTCAGCAGGTTGGTAATACAAGAGTAACTCTTCCTGAAACCATTCTGTTGGGGTGAGAAGAAATTTAAGGACAGTAAATAGTCATTTATACCATCGCATATCAGGGCCTCCATGATTTTTGAGGGTATGGAAAGAAGAGCCACCGGTCGGTAACTTGAAGGTTCGCTGAGTCGACCTCCTATGAAAATTGGTATGATGTGAGCCAGCCTCCAATTTTCCGGTAGTTTTCCGCGACTTAGCGAGTGTGAGAATATCACGCTAAGCGGCATTGCCAAGATTGAGGCTGCTTCCATCAGTATAGCAGAATGGACCATGTCCGGGCCAGGAGAAGTGTCTAATCTTAAGTGCTGCAGTTTCCGGAACACCAAGCCTGCGCTTAGGTTCACTTCGGACAGTCCTGTGGAATTGCAAACGAAACTGTCATCAGTAAACTTAATGTCGGTCAGTTGAAATGTCTGGGAGTAATGTTTAGCCAGAAGGTTAGCAGCGTCGCCATCGTTGTTGGTTCGGGCCGTTAAGACCTACCAGTTGGGAAACTCCAGTTTTGGCTTGACGAAGAGAGGCTGCATAACAGAATAAGCTTTTAGGATTAGCGGCAAATTTATCCATAAGCTTTGTCTGGTACTGAAGCCTATCCTCCCTTATAGCCTTCGTGCATATGTTCCTGATATGTTTATATCGCCTGTACGCTCCGTCGTTGTCAGTTCGTTTGTATTCCGCCCAACAGTGCCTTTTGCGGCTTAGCAGGCGAAGGGTACGGTTCTTGATTATCGTAGGTGGCTTGCAGCTTTTGGGAACCGTTTGAGGAACTGAGTGGTTTGTAGCACGTAAGGGCGTGTGCAGTAAGAAGTCCCAATGACCGTCCACATCGAGTTGGGAGTGAACATCCCAAACCACCTGTTGTAGATAGTCATGTAGAGCTAGCACATTCAACCGTTCAAAATTCCAACGCAAGTTATTGGTGGATTATCTAAGCTTAGTTTTGCTAACAAAACTGAAGGCTGTGAAGACATGATCGCTTTTTCTCAGGGGAGCCAGGATTGAGAAGTTGTCAACTAGAAATTCTTCGTTTGTGAATACACAGTCTAAGCACGATTGTGTCGGACTGTTTCTCCAACGAGTTGCCGACCTCACATTTTCGTACAATCTCAAGTCATTGATGAGGTTGAAGAACCGAGCTTCAATTGAGTTGTCGCCTCCAGTATACGTGTGTTCCGCGAAGTTGACTCTAGGGAGATTAAAGTCCCCTAGAATCAGGATGTGTGTGAAACCGAGACGAGTAGAGCGGGATAGTCCTTCCAGCATACGACTATCGTACCCGATTTCGGCAGTTGGCTTCTCGTAAATAACTCCGGCTAGACACCTCGAAGTGCTAGATAATCTTTCAGAGCATCATATAGATTCCTCAAGATTGTTAAACTCGAGGTAAAGAGCTCAAAAAACGTGCAAGACTTCGAAACAATGAACAATTTAATAGCGTGGGATGAGATAAGATATATCGGTGATACGAAATTCCGACATATTTAGAAACATGAAGGTAGGGCTGATGAGCACAAACACTTCTTGTTTTATGTATGTATATACTCACTCACTACACCAGGAGAAAGTAGATGACCCGTAATTCTATACTTGAAATAATCTACTGAAGAGAGTAGGATTGCCGCAGTATTAACGAGTATCAGAAAAAACAGACTAGTAATGTGACGATTGGTTACTTGAGAGTTACCACGTGGGTCAGTGCTGTCATACATAGCTAGAAATATTCTGTCGGGTGCCCAAAATTACTCGATTTAACATTTACTGTATGAGGGGCTCTTTGTTCATCTATAGTCCAGCGAGAGGAGTTGTAGCTGATGATCCCAGTGATAATTTAGTTTATTTCCTAGACCACTAACTCGATTCCACTTCGCTGCACCTGCTCCGACATATTCAATCTAATGTGATTGACTCCTAGGTGTGGCCAGATCTATATCCTGAATATTTCCGAAGGTAATTTGAGGAACAAGGCAAGTCACATTCCCAATATTTTTGCCAGAGGGAATGTGTGAGACGCAGTGTGGAATGCTTTGGCACGATAATGAAATAGTGCATACATAAGCACTTCCCACCCCTAGCGGTCTTTTCGACTGTCCCACAACAACAAAACGTTTATCTCACAAGACCTGGTTTATCTCTATTCATGGTGAGATAGTTTGTTTTTATCAATAACTTCCCTCATTTTGCCGTCTACTAAACTTCTCAGTATGAATAATAAAATATGGAAAAAGTTGCGCGTTTGTAATAGCTTTAATCCTTTCTATTTAATTGGTTTAAAACTAGTAAGAGAACTATCTTTTTCACTTTTGTGAGAGATTATGAGAATCGATTGTATGTTCATCCACTGGTCGGTGTATGATACCAATGATCCACTTTAGGATAGTTGATAACACATTCGACATTAATTCGGATACTGTCTGGACATTGCTCCTGACCATAGTTAAAACTAGAGCTGTGAAAATTGTTGTTCGGTCCTAATGGGTATTCATTTGCTCACCAAAGTGTTCGTTAAGTGCTTTGATAACTTTACGGGTCGTAGAACATATGGAATGAAGACCGACCACGTTAGTCTCCTGATTTATATCTTTTTCGAGTGTTGTAAACAGACACAGACGATTTCGAATCTGACTGTGGTGGTTCGTCAGACTTGTTTGGAGAAACCACAAAGTCTTTCAACGCTAGTTTACTAAGTGCATATTGTACTAATGAAAGTTGATCGTTTTAAGTGTGATGCACTTTGCCTACCCATATAAAATGGTCTCGAAAA